AATTTATAAACCTTGTAAGTGCAAAACATTGTAACTCAAAACATAGTAAGTCAAGGATTGCCTGTATACAAACAGCATGGGAACTGCTTAAGAACACCATATTGGAGGAACAGATCAAATGTATACTGCAAATAAAAACAATAGAAAACAGACCTAAAGAAGGTCAGCATGGTTTAATGGTAGGGTTGCTAAGACAATAAGTAAGAGAAAGCCTTTCTTTCAAAAAGTGAAAGTCTAGTCCCAATGAAGAAAATAAAAAGCATAAACTCTGGCAAATCAAATGTAGAACTGTAATAAGACAAGCTAAGAAAGAATGAGGAGAAACTTGCTAGAGACACAGAAGATAACAACAAAAACTGAAGACCTGCCAGGGGATCTGTAGGGCCTTTGGATGATCAGGGTGCAAAAGAAGCACTAAAGCATGACAGCCATTGCCAAGCAACCAAATGCATTCTTTGCATCTGTCTTCACTGTGGAAAACATTAGGTAAATTCTCTCACCATATCCACTCCTCTTTAGGGACAAGTCAATGGAGCTGACCCAAAGTGAGGTTTCAATAGATGAGGTTGTAGAGAAAATTGAGTAACTAAACAGCAGCAAATCACCAGGACTTGATGGCATTCTCCCCAGGATCCTGAAGGAGCTCAGATCACAATTTGCCAAACTCCTAACTGCAATATGCAATCTATCACTAAAAACAACCTCGATACCAGAGGATGGCAAGGTTGCCAGTGTGACTCCAAAAGACTCTAGAAGGGACATAAGGAACTACAGGCTAGTAAGCCTAACTCTGTTCCTGGAAACCTGGTAGAGATGATAAAAACAATAATAAAAATGGCTTGTGCAGCACATGAATGAACATGACTTGCTAGAGAGGAATCAACATGGCTTTGTCAAAGGGAAATCATGTCTCACCCATCTATCAGAGTTCTTTAAGGTGTCAATAAACAGGTGGATCAGGGCAATCCAGTGGACATCACAGGGTCCCCCATCAGAGGCTCTTAACTAAGTGAGGTAGTCACAGGATCACAGGGAGCATCCATTTGTGGATTAGAAATTGGTTTAAAGGAAGAAAACAAAGCATGAGTATAAATGGCCAGTTTTCAGGATGGAAATAGCAGGGTCCCCTGGGGATCTCTTGGTACCGGTGCTAATTAACACATTCATAAATAATCTGGTAAGTGGGGGAGGTGAGTAGGGAGCTGGCCAAATTTGCCAGTGGCACAAAATTAGGCAAAGTGGTAAAGACTGTGAGGAACTGTAGAAGGATCTGGCACTATTGAGCAAACGGGCAACTACAGTAAATGGCAGATGAAATTCAAAAGGAAACCGAAACACAAAAGAAAACCATTCCTGCAAAAAGGAAGGGTAGCAGAAGGGCTGGCAAGCCCTCCTGGCTTAATAGGGATATTGCAGTCCTCTTAAAAAAGAAAAAAGAGGTCTACACACAGTGGAAGCTAGGGATAGTCCTCAAGGAGGGCTATACAATAGTGGTCAGCACTTGTAGGGAAATGAGCAGGAAAGCCAAAGCAGTGACTGAATTTAGGTTAGCCACGGGAGTCAAGGACAATAAGAAGTCCTTCTTTAGGTATGTAGGTAGTAGAAGGAAAACAAATGGAAGTGTGGGACCCCTGCTTTACACCTTGGGACAGCTGGTAACCAACATTCAGGAAAAAACTGAACACTTGAATGCCCGCTTTGCTTCGGTATTTCACCAGACCAAGGGGAAAGACAAGTGAAATAAGGCTCATAGGGGGCATGCTGGGAATGGCAGCCTCCCCACTGTGGGTGCTGAGTCAGTGCAAAACCAGCCAGAAAAGCTAGATATTTGTAAGTCAGCAGGACCATATGCACTCCATCTGAGAATGCTGAAGGAGCTGGTTGAGGTCATTGCAGGATCCCTGGCAAAAGCTCTTTCAGAATTCCTGGCACACGGGACACCCCTGAGCATTGGAGTAGGGCCAACATTGTGCCCATCTTCAAGAGTGGGAAGAGGGAGGACCTGGGCAACTATAGACCAATCAGCCTAACTTCTATCCCAGGGAATATCCTGGAAAAGCTCATTAAAGAATTTATGTGCGATACACTCATGAAAGGTAAGATTCTGAATGACAGCCAGCATGGCTTTGTCACAGGTAGGTCTTGTCTTACCAATCTCATCTCCTTCTACAACCAGGTCTCTCACCTCCTGGACATGGGAGACAAAGTAGATGTTATATACCTAGACTTCCAAAAGGCTTTTGACCTAGTGTCCCACTATGTCCTTGTGGGAAAATTGGAAGCTTGTGGGCTCAGCTGCTCAACACTTCAGCGGGTGGGAAACTGGCTGCATGGTAGAACCCAGAGAGTTCTCATGAATGGGTTTGTGTCGTCCTGGTGTGAAATGGCCAGTGGTGTCCCTCAGGGGTCCATGCTTGGACCGGTGCTTTTCAACATCTTTATCAATGATTTGGATGGGGGAGTGAAAAGCTCACTGGCCAAGTTCACAGATGACACCAAGTTATGGGGCAGTGTGGCCATGCCAGAAGATAAGTTGCAAATACAGGCAGACCTGGACAGGCTCAAGAGTTGGGCAGACTGGAACCAAATGAAATTTAACACTACCAAATGTAAGGTGCTCTATCTGGGGGCAAACAACCCTCAACATACATACAGGCTTGGTGGTGACAGCTTGACTTGCATCACGGCCGAAAGGGACCTAGGGGTAATGATTGATCATTGCATGAATATGAGCTGTCAGTGCGAGGTGGTGGTCAGCAGGGCAAATAACATGCTGGCATGCATCAATCGATGCATCTAATGTAAAACTAAGGAAGTGATACTCCCGCTGTACTCAGCACTGGTGAGACCCCAGTTGGAGTTCTGTGTCCAGTTCTGGGCACCGCACTTCAATAAGGACATGGAAGAACTTGAGAGGGTCCAGAAAAGAGCCACCCATATGATCAGGGACTTGCAAGGCAAGCCATACAAGGAAAGGCCTAACCAGAAGAAGGTTGAGAGGGGATTTGATAGAGGATTACTGCTATATCAGAGGAGTGCATCAGGAGCTCGGTGAGCAACTGTTCACTAGGGCACCCCTGGGGAAGACGAAGACCAGTGGATAAAAACTCCTGGAAGGCTGCTTCAGGGTCAATACCAGGAAAAGCTCCTTCACAGTTAGGGTGTCCAGACTGTGGAATAAACTCCCTCCAGAGGTGGTGCAGTCACCTACCCTGGAGGTTTTCAAGAGGAGGCTAGACAGTCACCTCACTGGACCCAGTTGTCTTCCTACCTAGAGCAGGGGGACTGGACCTGATGATCTGCAAAGTGCCTTCCAGCCCCTAACAATCTATGAACCTATGAAATTCAATGTAGATAAGTGTAAAGAGATGCATATGGGCAAAATAGCCCAAACTGTACCTATACTATAATGGGCTCTACATTAGCTGTTACCACACAAGAAAGAGAGCTGGGAATCATTGTGGACAGTGCTCTAAAAACATCAACTTTTGGATGGTGCTTGATAGCCATCAAAAAAGCAAACAAAATGTTAAGGAGTATTAGGAAGAGAATTGTAAACAACTGAAAGTAACATTATACCGTTTTATAGAGCCATGGTGCATCCATACCTTGAACACTGTGCCCAGCTCTGTTTCCCACTCCTCAGAACGGACATAGAAATACTAGAGAAGATACAGAGATGGACAACAAAGCTGATTACTGGTATGGAGGGACTTTCATATGAGAGAGATTAAAGAGACCCCTCATCATACCCACTTCACTCTCTCTTTCAACATCCACTCTCTGCCATTGTGTGACACAGGTTATTGGGCAAGACGGATCTATGGTCTGACCCAGTAAATGGCAATCCTTTTGTTCTTACGCGCATTGCTTTCCCTCATAAGACTCCTAGCAACTATAAAGCCATCCTTCTGAAGCAGCAGTTCATAAACTGTAGAGCGGTGCTTCTCAACATTTTTAGACTTGATGCACCCCTCTGAAAATGCTGCTCTTAGTTTTCGGTCATGTATTGGACCACAGAAAGATAACAGAGTAATTCTTCTGTTGTAAAGAACTCAGAAAGACCACAGCAGGTCAGAAATGTTTTTAAACCTATGGATTCCCATTTGAAATCTCCAGGTTCATCTTGGGAATCATTTTGGTAGCACCTAAGAGTGCTAACAGTGCATGGCACTCTGTGGCACACCTGACAGGGTCTCAAGGCACCCCAGGTGCCATGGCACTCTGGCTGAGAATCACAGCTGTAGATAGCTTGCTGGTGCTGTGCAAGACTGATTGGTCCCATGGTGCTGCTGCTTTTCCATTACAGAGGTTATATCACAATTAGAAGAGCAATACTCTGCCCCCACACCAAAAGTGACTCTTCATCTTGTCATCTGTGACACTTTATAAAAAAAAATGTTAAAGTTAGGACTTCTTTTCCCTGAATGCATCAGGTGTGTCTCTTAATAGGAAATATCAATCTAAGCATCTTGTAGATTTTGACATCCAATACAACCGCTTTTGCCTTATCAATCATGTACTGTTGTGCTCTCTTAATACAGGTGAGCCAATAATCAAACCTAGCAAATAAGTCTGTTTTCCCCCAAATGGCTGTTTCTAGTCCTCACCCACCCTTCAAATTAATTTACTCAGATACAGTGGCTGAAACCTCCAGCTTTGTCTGTATTTCACTGCATTAGGATCCCAGCTTTGTTACCAGTTTTCTTCTTCAGACAAGATGCATAGAAACGCTACATGCCCAGGCCTGTTTTAAACAACCATGGTTACTAACCATATACAAGTATTCATAGCCTAAGTGCATGCTGCTGCTCTGGCTGACTACTAGCATTGCACTGAAGACACCAGTGGAGGGTTCTGGGCTGGTCAGCACTACAGAGGTATTGCTATTATAGATGTCCCAAGAGCACTCCAAAGTGAAAACAGCTTTTATCCGCAGAAGCTCTTCTGCCAGTGCAGTCAAACAATATCTGAATACCACAAGCATTACTAGTTCCAAGAAGCAAAGGATTTTTGTGGGTGATGTATCTTTTATTGGACCAACTGCATGGTTGGGACAGACTTAAGCAAGCTTTTGAAGCATTCCTCATCAGGTGATCTTATTCCTTACTACTTTCATAATTCCTGGATCATCATGGCTAAAACATCATTCCAACACTACCTACCTCCAAGGTGGCTTTAGTTATAGCTACATGAGGGAGGAGGTTTGCTGCTACAGTTAATAGGAATAGGTTCTTAACACCTCCTTCCAAAAAAGGACTTCTAGACATGCTGTATGTCAGCAGCACGTTGTGCTGTAGACCTGGCTTCGGGTGATTTGCTGCTTTACTCTTGAACTCCTATTCATTGCAGAGGCAGAGAGAGGAGAGGTAGGGCAAGGAAGACAAAGTCCACCCCATGGAAGATGTCAAACTTCCATTGCTTTCAGTCCCTACCAGTGCTGTATTGCCCTAACTTTCACAAAGTCTTTCTATGACTTGCCTTTTCATAGGCTTTTTACAGCTCCTCTCTTGGTTTCCTGATACTCTGACTCTCTTGACAGGGGCTCTTCCACATCTACCCCAGACCACATGGTACTGTGATGTTCTCTCTGCTTCTCAGACTCAGAAGGACAATCTGCTCTATACATAATCTAACAGTTGCATCTCAATTACCTCTTGGTCATGTGATGAAGGACAACAAATCCTCTCCAGGGGACTGCATTTTGTAGAATTCCATTGGGTGACAAGGGCCATGCCATAGTCTATTGCAACATGCTATTAAAGCACATGGTATGTCCTCCCACAGTTACTGACCAAACATCTCTGTATTAGCAGCCCTTATCAACTTTTCTAAATACTGACCAGATGTTGATGTATGCTCACAATAGACAGGAGTTAAAAGTACAATGAAACATGCTTAGCCCCTATGGCAAGAAGCACCTTAATATCTCTTCAACTGTCCTACCCTGCTGAAAGATAGTGGCATACTGAAACCTTTTTTGACCTAGAAGGAATAGTACCATGATTTGGGGCCTGAGAAAAATGCTAACAATAGTGAAAGAGGCAAGAATTTGAAAGAAAATAGAAAAGGAAACTACTCCCAATGCATAAAATGTGTACATAATGTCATTGCTTATGGACAAGGTTCTAATAAGGAGCTGACTTGGGGGGAAAATGCAGAAATGACAACAGAGAATAGAATTATTCTCATCGTAAAATTCACCAACTCTGCTTACATTGCAACTAAGGTTAGGATCCAGCCCTTTGTAAGCACATAGTGAGGGACAGTCTCTGCCCCAAGCAGCTTACAGCTCTAGTCTATACTTGTAGGTGGTGAAGGGGAATTCATGGTTGAAGTTGTATCATGTACTGTAATGCCTAAGGACTTATATAAAAAAGGAGGCTTGTATGAGTATGCCAGAAGCCTAAGGCTAGTTTAAGTAGATGACGGGCCAGTGACCAAAGGGGTATTACTCAAGAATATAAATAAAGCTCCCTAGAATAGTGCCATGGGAAAGGGGTAGAGAATTTCTGAACCAAGTTGGTGATCATTTATTAAACCATAAAGTATCAATCTGTCTCTCATACTCCAGGTCTCTCTAACCAGTCCATGGATTATACAAATTATACGAATGCTGGTTCTGGCTCTGTTCAGCCTCTCTGTGCTTTCTTTAATAAAGGTGTGCAGTCTCACTTGGGTGCCTCAGAGAGCTCCATCCAATGACAATCTTTGTAGTATTCAATCTGGAGAGTAAACCTTGCTAGATCACTGCATGCAAAATTTGAGTCAAACAAATGGTATAGAAGTGTTAATTATAGATTATTTTACAACAGTGGTGCTCAACCTTTTTCCCCAGCAGGCTGCATAGGCAGTGCCCAATCTGTCCATGAGCCAGATCTGTCTGGTAGTCCCACTCTGGTGCCTGGAGCAGGCATGGCAGGCACCATCCAACCATGTGGCAGGGGGCAGACCAACTCCAACTGCAGGTCCACAGGGGACAGGAACTTGACCTGGCCACACAGGGAGGGGAGGGGGGACAGGGTGTGACCTGGTCCTGGTCCAGAAATGGGAAGGAGGGGTCAAGGCCTGACTCCAGCTGGCCATGCAGGGTTTGGACATTGGGGATTTGATGGGTGGGAGGGGGACTATATTAAGGCCACCAGTCTTCCACCACCAAATTTCTGGACCTGTGGTGGGAGACTGCAGGCCAAATATGATGGCTCTGTGGGCCACGTTTGGCTTGCAGGCCAAAGGTTGAGCACCTCTGTTCTACACAGTCTAAACTGGAAAAGATAGACAAATAGAAAGAGAATGATAACTTAATAGAAACATGGAAATAAGTGGTGTACTTGAGATAGAAGCCAGGAATACTAAATAATAGGCCAATGTGTAATCCACTGGACACATCACCTCTCCATCTTAAAAAGCATGGTCATCTTAACCCATGAGAACTCTAGCAGGACCAAAGAGTGGCTGATTATCTGTAGTATGGACCTGAAATATAAGCAAATAACCACAAAAAGAGAAAGGCAAAAAAATTACAACTATTGGAAATCTAAAACACTATCCAATATTTTGATGGTGATCCATCCAATGAAGTTGAATGTCAGAGGTGCACTGCTTCTTGGTCAGGCCTCTGCTTTAGGAATGAATCTGTTTAATTTATGACCACTAGATGGAAGCAAAAGGCTTTCCATTGCCTCTTAAGTCTGCAGTGGAAAAAAAATACTGATTCCAAGTATAATGTTGCCTTTAGCAGATTCATGCAATGTCTGCTCTCAGTACAGAGTAGTAGTATGGCCTGCACAAAAGCACAGGATAACTCAAAAATGTGTGTTAATCAGCCAATCTTCTATGCAGGCTATATATACTTGGGGATCTTCTAATGGATTATGGGCCAAAGAGGTTAAGGATATCCTGTAGTCCAATATTATTGGAGTCAGATGACCAGCTATTGGGTATTTATAAATCATGGGTATGTGAAAACTATAGAAAGAATCACATCTAAAGAAAAGACCTTGGGACATATTCTGCCTCAGATTCACTGTATGACCTGGTCCAGGCCACTTAACCTCTATATGCTTCCACTTCCCCATTAGCAAAATGAGTCTTAGCAGCACCTCTGTCAAAGGGGTACAACTATTACCCCTTTAAGCCCCAACTATTAAAATGCTGCTAAAATGATTTGATGAGCCACATACTGCACTGGAGGATACATATATAATATTGTACCAAATAATCGCATGGAAATTCTGACTGTTGCTCTGCTTCGCTTCCTGACCTCTCAGAACTTAATGGGAGCTGAAGTGGCAGCATTCAGACCCTTGGACTCCAGAAGCACACCTAGCAGCACAGAATTTCCACTAACTCTGCAGCCCCAATACATTTGAATTATTATCAAGTGATTATTTCTATGACAGCAGAAACTGGAGGGCCCAATCAGGATCAGGGCTCCATTGTGTTTGTAAGAGACCATTTCTTCCTCAAATTGCTTACATTCTTCATAGGAGAAACCATAAAATATATGGGTAGAGCCTAGGAGTGCCCTGCTATTATTACACAATCAAACCTTCACTGTACACATGGGGAACTGAGACAACAGAGGAACAGATCTTTTGATAGCATATATTATTATGGCTCTACTAATGTCACTGAAGGTATAATAATTTCTCTCTGCTGTTGATCTGTCCAGCATTGAGATGGGTCTAGATCCACAGCAGGACTTAGCTGTGACACTGAGCATTGTTGTGCCTAAATTGTAGAAGCCTGATGTTGGGAGCAGAATTCACAACCATGAGTTAGGTGTGCAAGTTCCTTATACAGTAAATGGGGAGAATCAGGGATGGAAATAGGATTCACAATGCTCAGTGTACTGATCTGGAAAACACATTTAAGCTAATCTAGTGATTACAACCTGCAGGATGGAACTGGCCTGTGGAGCCATGTAGTGTTGCCTGAAAGGCTTGTAGAAGGGCTGGGAATTTGGGCCTGCTGCCAAAGTCTCCCCAGGTGATGCCAGTGGCAGGGGCAAGTAATTGCTATGTTAAGCCCTGCAGCCACCACTCATCTCACTTGTCACCGCTGCCATATCCATTTCCATTCCACAAGGAGCCCCACTGTCTGGATTTATCCCAGAGGATGGGATGGGTTTGATACCCCTGAGCTAATCTTTGGAAACATCACAAAGAGAGGTATGCCTGAATCCTACCTCTCTCTTGGATATAGATACCTGGTTTCCAAGCTCTGAATTAGGCACTAAAAAGAGACACAGATTCACAGCTAGGAGCTTCTTCATGGCCTTAGCAACCAGGGTGTCTTTGAATATGGATAAATGACTCACTTCTGTTGCAGTGCAGATTGGAGAGTGCTTGGTTATTCCTTGCTTCTGGGCTTTGCTGATTGCCACATGGGGCTAGGAAGGATTTTTTTTCCCGTCTGGTCATTAGAAGGTGTTACGATTTGTTTATTTTTCCCCCTCCCTTCCTCAGAAGCATTGAATGTTGGCTGCAGCAAAGGTTGTGGAGTTTGATTGGGACTTGATATTCCTACTGGGACTTAAAAATCCCAGTCTCTAGCTAGAGGGTCTTGCTCCTCTGCTCAGGGTCAGACCAATCACTACATTTGAGATCAGGAAGGAATTTTAGGAATTCCTGCAGTTACGCTGGCCTAGACTGGGTTTTTTGCTTGTCCCCGTCCCCCCCCGCCCACACCTCTCTGTAGTGGGGGGCATGATCCTACTTCTTAGCTGTCTTGAGCATATTTTAACAAATATTCCTATCCTTGCAATGGCAGGACACTGATATTGCCCTCATCCTTGGGTATCGTGCCTGGTATCTGTGAAAGAGAGTTGTTTGTTAAGGCTTTAAAAATAGGTTAGAAAAACACTTGTTTAGGATGGTTTAACTGGGGATGATCCTGCCTTGAGCAAGGAGCTGGACTAGATGACTCCCTAAAGTCCCTTCTAGCCCTACTTTTATGTGATTCTAGAACGTGGCTACTAGGGCTGTGTGAAATTTCGCCAGCCGTTTTATTTTGACACTGTTTGGACCAATTTCAAGGTCGAAACATTAAAATGGGAACAAAACAAAGGCTGTCGAAATAGCCGTGAAACAAAACAAGGTTGGTTGAAATGTTTCAAAAGTCAAAACGTTTCAACCACAGGCTGGGGATGGGAAGTCAGTCCAGCTCGGTTGACTTCTCATCCCCAATGCAAGATCTGGTAGGGGGTGGCAAGGCAGTCCAGGGGGATGCTTCCAAGTCCCCTGTGCTAGATCACACTGGGAGTGGAAGGCAGCCCAGCTGGGCTGCTTTCCAATCCCCATGCTAGATCACACCAGGAACAGGAGGCAGCCCAGGTGGGGACCAGGTAGCAGCGGTGTTCTCATAAAATTGTGTTTCTAGCATGGGGGGCCGGGTAGCAGCAACAGCTGGGCTGCCTCTCACCCCTGGCCCAATCTAGTGCGGGGGGCTGGGTAGCAAACCAGCTGAGCTGCCTCACTGCCCCCGGCATGATCTAGCATGGGGGATGGGGAAACAGGCTAGCTGGGCTGCCTCCCACCCCCAGTGTGATCTAACAGGGATGAAGAAGCAGCTGAGCTGGGCTGCCTGCCACCCCTGGCGTGATCTAGTGTTGGGGATAGGAAGTCAGCCCAGCTGGGCTGACTTCCCTTCTCCAGCAAAACATCGAAACAGTGTTGAAACAGCCTTTCTGTTTCAACAGAACAGAACGAAACAGCTGTTTTGACTCAAAATGAAATTCGATATGAAACACTTTTCCATTGAACCGTCGAAACAGAATGGTGCTGTTTCGCACAGGCCTAGTGGCTACTACCATGTGCCTTCTAGGCAATGGCTTGATTAAGTTTGCAGTCTGCAGACTTTATTCAACAGCTCATTAGTGAAAATTGCATATGCAGCCCCTAAGGCAGGGATCAGAACTCGGAACCCACTTGTCCCATGTGAGTACCTTTATCACTGGCTAGAGTCATGCTCCCTTGTCCTTACACAGTCTCTCTCTCTTGAGCCCAGGAAATCTTGTGCTCTTTTCTACATAGAGGTCATCTTCAATAGGAAGGACAAAGGGTGAAAGCACCTTGCCCCCCAGACCTCTCCTAGGAGGTAAGGAATGTAAGTTTGAACCCCTTCTGGCTGGAAGAAAGCACTGAACTATATCATACCCTTCACGCACTCTTTCTGGGAAAATGCTCAAACAAGTAGGTTATTCTGTTAAAACTGGGTGGCACCATCACCATCCATGTTTTAGAATGCTTGATGCAGGACTTCGTGGGCATGTGCACCAGACTGAACCTTAGGCGAAGGCATGCCTAATTTGCAAATCCCAGACTGGGGTGAGACAGGTGGTGACACAGTGAATTTGACCAAAATGGCTATCATCTCTGGCCATGCTCAGTAGCAGAACTTCAGGCTCTCAGATAACTTTACTGGCAAAAACTTCAGTAGCTACAGTCTCCTAGGCACCTAATCAATTATTCAGCTTTTCTGTGGATCATTCACATGGGTTCAGGTACCTAAAGTCAACAAAACTCGTACTTTAAGTACCAGGGAGCTATTATGGATTCGTCCTGTAGTGACTTACTCAAGGTCACACACTAACTCTGTGGGAGAGTGGGACACTAAACCCAGATTTCTAGAGCATTAATCCAACATCATAATCATTTTATTCTTTAATGGGCCTACTTCCATGCAGACAAAGGTAACAGTCATATCTTCATAAAACATTTTCTTATATCTTCTGAGAATATGCTGTAGAACTCCTTTTAGCTAGACAAGATTACATACCTGGTGACTAGTGTTCACTTAGCTAGTTTTTCATATAACAACCTGGGGAAAGACCAGCTTAGATCAGACAAAGAAGAAAAGCTAGGCGGTCATGATTTGAAAGTGATGCTTTATGGATCTAAAGCAGAACTGTCTATATTGCAGAATGACTGATTCCATGCAACAATTAATGACCCAATGCTGTTTGCCTTCACTTGCTGAATATAGTGCACTGTGCAATGTACATTATTACTGTCTGCCTTTTGTCAGATAATTGATTTAGTTATTAATTGAGGAAATTGCTCATGATGAATGAGAAGCCTGCAGAAGTCATTAAAGATTATTTCCCCCCCTCAACCTGGATAGATATAATATTGTAACTATATTAATAGCAATCACATGGTATAGAGGGATGTGAAAATATTTGATTGTTTAAGACCCACAGGAGGCAGAAGATGCCAAAATATTGATTGATATCCACTTTTCCTTCCAAATGAAAAATACTTGTAAGTGGTAACTAATATGAACAACTCATCTGAAGTATATTGCTTTTCTCTTGCATATATGTATTTCAATGATTTATAATAGGGGTGTTAAACTCATCTGGTCCCATGGGCCAGATGAAACATGCAGGGCTGGCCCATGAGCAAGATAAGTGGTGGGGCCTGGATAAGTGGTGGGGCATTCCAGATCCAATGTATGCTCTGCTTACTCTGGCTGTTCTAGGACTGTGTCACACACAGAACTTGCACAGGGCCAGTCCAGGACACACCTTGCATGTGGCACCTATTCTGGCTGGTCTGGAACCTACACTGCATGTAGCTGTCACTCTGGAGAGGCCAGATCCTAGACCTGCTGGCCGGATCATAGACCTCCACATCAGAAGCAGTGTGGCTCCTGGGCCAGAGTGGGGGCCCATGTGCAGCACACATCCCAGTCCTGCACATGGGGATAGCTTGGCCCATGCTGTATGTAGCATGTGGGTCAATACTGGGGGTCAGATAATGGGAGTCTGCAAACCAGATCTCTGATGTTCCTGATTTAGAAGCAATAAGGGTCCTCAGTCATACTAATAAAGTTACATTACTGAAATATAGCAGTGCAACAATCCAACATTGGTATACAGTCAAATTGCTTGAAACTATGGATAAATTTAGCTTGGAACTTAGAAGATTTTTAACTATTAGAGGAGTGACATTTTGGAAAGATCTTCTAAGAAAGTGGTAAGGTCAAGGAACCTGCACCACTTTAAGACTGAACTGGATAGGTTTATACAAGGGATAGAAGAATAGGACATGGAGCTCTGGCTCAACAACTACTGTGCATTATGTCAAGTCACTTGTTTCCTGTCTCCAGATTGGAGTGTAAAGGTAGGTCACATGTGTGCGATACATGAATGTGTTGCATCTGCACATGCAAATCTAAACTTACTTTCTGTTGAATCTGCTAATGGCAATGAATATATAGTTTTACGTTATGTTTACAATGTAGTCCATGCTTGCCAGTCTGGCAACACTTTTTCCCACACTTGTGGCTGGAGTAATTTATTTATGAATGTCCTGGACAAATGTGATAGTATGGTGTGGAAGGTGCCAAGTAATCCTATTCCTCATGGCTTTTGCTGGTTGCCTGTTGGTTTTAAATTTCAAAATTAAAAACATTTTTACCTTTCATGAATGCTGTTGGCTTCTAGGAAACTCTACTTTGTTCTACTTGGAGCCAGGCCTACATTAGTCAAGTGCTTCCATATGGCTTGCCATGCGTGGAAGGATACGTGTATAAGGAGCTTCCCCAGAAAATGATTTCAAGATATTTTTGCTCCAACCTGTACTGTGTTCTTTTATTTTTCAATGTTGCCATTATCATAATTCCTTTCTTCAGGCTCTAAAAGAGGGGGTTTCTCCTACGAAAGTCTATACTGAATTCACTTAGGAATAACTAGCACATGGGTGAGGTCAGAAAGTTGAAATGATTTGATAAGATGGGAAAATCTTAAAAGCAAACTGTAAAAGATCCCACAACCCCAGTAACTGACACAGGAAGTCAAAAGAAAGGGTTCCCAATTTTATACAGAAAATGCTGGGGATTAGGGTCACAAGCCAATGGGCTAGGGTGAAATAAACAAATATGGGTAGATAAAGATGAAACATTACAGTATGTATACTTAGGATCCAGATAACAGGTAATAACAGTGACACTGCTGTGAAATCCCCCAAGTGCAGATAGCAGGAACAGGTAAGAAACACTAATGTTGTTGTACATACAACTGAGAAACCTTAACTCCCCTCTGGAAGGGCTCCAAACCAGTCTCTGGTCCCAGAAATGCTTAGTTTCTGTCTGTATGGGCTCCACTTGAGGGCGCTGCTGCCGTTCTGCACTCATGCCACACATCTCTCCTCTGTCTACCTGTGCAAACCAGGTCTTCTACGCTTCCTCTTTCTTTGTCTTTCTGCCCCTAGCATCTCTGGCAGCTGTAGTCCAAATCCAGCCAGCAGGGCTGCTCCCCCTGCTGTAGCTCATTCATACTGCAATGGCATTACATTTAGTTTAGGCAGCACGTTACATAAGTACAACTAACAAGGAGGCCCTGTCGCACCATTACCAATACTAACTACTAAGTAGTTAGCAGAGGGAACTCAGTGCTGTAGCAATGAAGTTCTGTGCCTGGGCAAAGCCTGCAGCACAGATCCTTGCCCTGTGCACAGATCTGGGGGATACATGCCCCCCATGCTTCCCCAGGAGCGCATGCAGCAGCGGGAACCACCCTTCCCCTATTCCTGCCCCCTCCCCACCCCACCCCCCTAAATGAGCCAGTAGGAACTCCCAGCTCCATCCCATGCCCTGCCCTGGCTGGGCAGCGCTTGTTGGTGCCCCTTTGCTTTGGCACCCAGGGCAGTCACCCTGCTTGCCCCACCTGGCTATGGCACTGAGGGAACTCCTGAACCCTTCAGCCCTCTCTTCATATGCATTACACTGGCTGTCTTTCATGATGTTCTTCCTCAGCTCAGCTCTGTTTGAATCTCACACACAACCATGACTGATGTTTAATTATCAAATCCCTGTGGTTTCTGCTGGAGCTGGAGCTGGTCTCCTGACTAGCGTCTGGATTCTTGTTTGAGATAGGCAGTTTATTGAGAAGCAAATCTATATTGTATTGGATGAAATGCAGCACTGATTTAAGAGTACATCTACACTTGAAAGCTAATCTGGAATAAGTCAGAGTATGAATTCCACATGTTGACCCTCTTATTTTAGGGTAAGCATATCTTTTTTAGCTTAATCCACTTTTTTACGTATTGTAGAATAAATCCATGATTAGAGTAACCTCTACTGTCTATGTGGCTTTATCTGATTTGAGTGGCTTCTGTGAGGTGATGCCAACTGGCTTTCTAGCCCAGGCACCAGCTCAGCTACCCAAAGGAGGGAGAAGGACCTGGCCAGCAGGCAGCCTTACAGAGCCAGCAGAGCCCCTATGTGGATGAGAAGTAGCAAAAGTTGTCTTGTAACTGGATGCCAGCAGTGGGTGGGAGGTGTGGCTGGGATTGGCAGGAACATTTGTTCTTGTGGGGGTTTAGGTAGGTAATCAGAGTCTGGGGGAAAATTGGAGCTCTCAAGTTGTAGGGTGGTGTTTGGGAAATCCTGTCTGTGCAACACTTGGTTATTGTAAGTCACTCTGAGGCATTTCATAGGTTTCATAGATTTCATAGACATTCAGGCTGGAAGGGACCCCAAAGGATCATCGAGTCCAGCCCCCTGCCCCAGGGGCAGGAAGTCAGTAGGGATCATAGGATCCCAGCAAGATAAACATCCAAATGTGTCTTGAAGGTGTTCAAAGTGGGTGTTTGTGAATAGGGTAGGATATAAATCTGAAAATAAAGAAATGATTAGAAATTATAAAAAATAAATGATTCGGAAGCCATTAGGCAAATATTAAACCCTTAAAAAAATCCCTCCCTTATATTACCAGGTGTTTCAGCCAAAATAAAAATAATCTAAATAAAATAAAAATAAAAATAATCTAAATAAAATAAAAATAATCTAAATTAAATAAGACAATCGAGTACTTGTTCTAAACCTTTTTAAAGACGTGGCACCCCTTGCCAGGCTGGAGGCACCCCTCCATAACTTTTGTGAATTGAACAGCACCCCATTTCAAAACCTAATATATTTATTACAGGGCATACAGAGGAGGCAGGAAGTGAGGACAGGGCAGCAGCTAGGCAGGGAGAACCTGAACCTGCCCTTCTCTGATTATTTCTTCACACCTCACTTATCTTCTTACACTTCCTGTGACACCTTTCAAAGAAGCTTGTGGCACCCCAGGATGCCCCAGTACCCTGGCTGAGAATTACTACAGTAGAATACCAAAGTACTAGAAATAAGTTTATTTCACTGACAGTACAGGGACCAACTAAACATGTTCACAGGAGACATACTCAAAAGGACAGCAAAGGTGCAAAAGAAAAGTTATCTGGAAATGGTGATCCAGGGTCCAAGCATTGCCTGTTACCAGACAATTAATAACAAAAGCACAATTCAGGTATCAGGGCAAGAAATTTGTTTGAGTATGATAGAAACTTCTGGTGTCATCTGAGGCATCAAAACCACATCTGGGGAAAGATCTAATGAAAAGCAAAGATGTCTTTATCAAAATATTTATCAAAATTCTGTGGTTAGGGAAGCCAGATAGTAGCAGATAGAGACAGCAATTCTATCAAAAAGCACTTCTATCCCCCTTAACTTCAAGCTGTCCCTAGGTCATTTCATCAGTCATTTAAGGGATTTAGATGCCAAAAGATACCTATGCATTTAACTTCAACAATTAAAGGACCTATTTGTAAGCATATTGTCATTGCTTGTATACTGACAGCACCTGAAAGGTCTGTTCAGAAGGATGGGCTCAGTCACAAAAACTGTACAGACACAAAAGGATTGTCCTTGCCTGTTGATGGACATAGCACCCCTGCCCAACACCTTCCCCCCACCCATTTCCCATCTCTACAGGGTAGCATCTCCCTACTCATACCCTCAAGGACACAACATGGCCTTTCACCCCTACCCTAAGCAGGACAGTTTGTTTTTTCCAACAGGGCAGAAAAGCTCTTAAACCTACAATACAAAGGTCATCCGTTCAACCATGCATGGTCCTTAAATATCTGCTAATTATCACCTCTACCCTCACTTAGTCTCTCATTGGGGAAAAGTCATCAGGCTTTCTACCAGGGAGAGGGCTTTTCTGTACCCTGGTACAGATAGCAGACAGGTCCAGTTTTTAACTCTCCCTCCTTTACTCTAGACAGTAAGGAAGCCCTTTTACTAGTCAGCTATCTCTCAGGGCAAACCCTTTTTTTGCCCCTTGATTTATTTAGGCAGAAGAGTGCTTTTTTTTCGCTTAGCCATTTCAATAAAAAAGCCCACAGGTAAGTCCTTCTGCCCCAGCCCTTTGTTTAAACTTCAACTGGAAAAATGTCCCCTTCAAGAACCACCTGCACATACCTAGCTGGACTCCTTTATTGTTCTCTCTTTCATCACTTATTAGTCTCAGGGGCCACCTGACCCTCTGAATAAGGGTCAGCTGAGCTACACCTGCCATGTCTGAAGGAACTGAACCATTTTTAAGGGGCCCAGCAAACCTCTGAGATAGTCCTGAGCAATTTAAAATCTATTTAAACAAGGAGACAGATGAGGCTGACAAACAATGCTCCTTTTAGCACCATTAAGGGGAAAAAAGACTGGTATGAAAGACTGCTGATTCTTGTGCTTGTGATGCTTGTTTTTCTTAAAGCCGCAGCCCCTGGAGACTCAGGATTTTTCTTTTCTTAAGGTCCAAATAGGTCCTGGGTATGACCATAAACTGCATCCAACTGGAGGGCTTGACAGCAATGTGGTGGGGCTGTTCATGTCAGGATAGTGTCTGTAAAATACCATAATGTTGCAACCTCCAGAGTAAGGTGAGCATAGTGTGCCTCAAAACCCTAGCCCCCACTGCTTTGTGGGTACTCCTTTGTTGGAGTAAGGCTAAAGGACACCACCGTGACAAAAACATGCCCCGCTAAGATCTTACGCAGTCAGCAGCAGCCTTAATCTGTTGTTCTCTGGCAGAAGCTATGACCATCAAGGCAATGAACACCTGGACTCAGTCTAAAGAGGGGATGGTAGGTCTAGGGCAGTAGTTTTCAACCTGTCTGTGGAGTCCGTGAAAGATGGCAATCATTAAAAAGTATGTGAATACCCACACTTTCAATTCAAAAGGGTCCACATCTCCATTCCAAATTTTTTTAGGAGTCTACAAAAAGGTTGAAAACCACTGGTGTAGAGCAGCCTCCACTCCTCCATACCCTTGCCTGGGTATAAACACTGAAGGTCTTGCTGTGATGGTTGCACAGACCTCCTGCGAGTACACCATGATTCAGAGGATCAACGATTGCCAAGAAAGTCTAATGGCAGTGGAGTAAAGCTTGAAATGTGAATCCTAAAGGCTCATTAAAAAAACTAGAAAGAAAAGAAAGTCATGAATATATTACCCTTTATATCTTACAACTTACAGCAAGACCTCCTAATTTTGTGGAGGGGAGTTAGATTCTTGGTTTAGTGGTTAGCAGTACTATGGACCCAATAATGACATTGTTGTTACTTAAAAGTACTATTCCAAAGGGTGAAAGAGCTAATTTGTAGTGTTTGTATATATATGCAGATACACACACAAATAAAATTTGGTTTTGCTGAGAGATTGTAAAAAACATATAAATATATTGTGTCTCTGTCTTCCATCAGAATCAATCTAGAATTTGAACTGGAGCTCAGATGCCAGTTTGTTTACAGTGAGCATCTATACATAAGCAGCAAGGCTGCTCTGATGTGCTATAATTACAGAGCATCAGAGCAGTCTTGATTAATTGAGTCTGCTGGAGCATGGTAATTACTGCGCTCCAGCAGACTCCAGAATCTCATGTACCAACATCCCCGTGCTTAAAAAAGGTGGTGGGGACACTTTAGAACTTATTCAATAAGCTTTAGTTAAAGTGCTCCCAACTGCCTTTTTTAAGAACAGGGAGACTGATACATGAGATGCTCCAGGTGCTTCAATTAGAGCTTTAGGACCGGTGCATGCTTTTTAAGTGACACTAAAGTTCAGCAGCTCTAGTTAAAGCACTCCCCACAACTCCTGGAGCACGTGTATAAACCCCTAGCGAGGGTAACTAACTACTGGAACAGCTTAGCAAATGAAAAAAATTCATCATCATCTCAATATTTTAAATTGAGAATGGCCTTATTTATTATAGAGCCTGCAGTGTCAATCCATCATAGGCTGGTAGGGCTAGATGCATGGGTTGCTGTGTGGCCTGGACTATGTTATACAGGAGGGCAAGCTAAGTGATCAGATTGGTCCCTTCTGGCCCTAAAATTGATGAATTAATGAAATCAGTGGAGTTGCTCCAGATTTGTGCTGTTATAACTGGGCGCACATACATTTTTATTAATGTGCCATAATTACTGTGCATTGAGTTTCATACCTGTAATCACAGGTACTAGCTTAATGTGCTGTAGTCAGTGTTACTGTGCATTAGCACCAGTGCACGCTTTTTAAGTGATGCTAATGTTCAGTAGACTAATTCTACTGTGCATTAGCACTTTTTTTTGTTCTGCACTAATGCCCAGTAGAATTACTCTGCTGCACCATTAGCGTCTTATGTAGACATGCCCACTGGAAGTGTTCTTAGTTCTTCCAGGCTTAGCCCACCAGCTTCAGTACAAACCAATGGCTTTGTACTGTGTGTCTCTATGTATGCATGATAGATCAGCGGGGTGATATTACTGTTTTAAAACTTATAGCAATGCCTCAATTGATAACTGTCCCCAACACTGTTGTATGGACACTCCAGATAATTTTATAATTATCAGATGAAACACTTTCCCTTTCTTGTATTAAGTAAGAAAAATTCTTAACAGATTGAAATTAACCAAATCATATGATGGTAAAAACAAAGAAGAGATGAAACTGTTCAATTTAAAATTAAATCAACTGCCTTGTAATGTGATGTGGATAAATTCTTTACAATTATTGGGTGCAACATCAGTGCCCCTAGGGAATTATGGAACAATGTATTTCTAATGCCAGGCACTCAGGAGATTCTTTATTTAAATTGCATAGATATTTGCATTTGACTAATATTTTTATAAGCCATACATGACAAATGTGGAATAAAGTGCATCATACAAAAAAACCCTAGACTGTAGGAAAGTCTCAGGGACATTTGTAGAGATGCTTTTTGTAATGGAAGGTTAATGAGCACATAATATTTGGTAACAGCTAGATTCAGAAAGAAATTTTTATAATGGTGTTAGACTTGTTTAGCAAGTGGTGCCTAATTTCACCTGCAAGGTCTCCATACAGACACCATCACCTTTTAAATCGTTTGAGCAGGTTGTATTATATTCAAGGTAAGTGGGAGGCTTGATTGAAAAGTGCTAAACTATGTCTATGCCAGTGTTAAAAGGAGTTAACATAGTAGATCTCAAAGTACTTTACAAAGAATTTCACTACCATAATGCCTATTTTACAGATGGGAAAACTTAGGCATATGGAGGTGAAACGACTTTCCCAAGGTTACTCAGAAGACCATCAGCAAAGGTAGGAACAGAATCTAATGCAAGATTCTTTATTTTTTACTGAACCAAGAACAGGTTTTGATGTGTACTTATACAGCCCCAAACAAGTGAACTTAGGCATTATAGGAGCCTTCAGGCACTAGATTAACACTAATAATAATAGTTATAGGGATAAGTTTGCATTGGGTTTCCTAAGATATGATAAACTCATTTGTGGATGAGTCTATGTTCTTGATGGAGAAATAGGCTGATGAAGTGTAGAGCGTAGTGTAAATATCTCATCTGGTTTAAATCAGTATAGCTCTGTTGACTTACTAGCTAAGTATAGAGGTTGAAAAACCCTGAAGCAAAATCAGTTCAATCTTCACAGGTTTTTCTAAGCTGCCTACTTTGAACTGGTAACAAACTGAACTAGCATTCAGTATTTGGGTGGCTAAGACAGGCAGAAGCCTGAGCTCTGGTATCATCTCAACCCTGCTCCTTACCCAGCTGTCAGACAGCTGAGAAGGGGGCCGGGCTGAAACCGTCCCAACCCAGCTTTGAACTGTGGGAAGATGAAAAGCTCCCATGTGGGTGCTTTCTACCCATGCCAGGTGCCAGGCCAAGGGAGTTCATTTCCTTCGCCCCAGCCTCCCTCCCAGAGGCAACAGCTGGTGAAGGGACAGGGCTGGGAAATCATACCTGGGCTCCAGCTGAGGTGGAGGAGGTGAAAAGCCCCCTTCCCCCCACTGGTTGGGTGCTTTCTCCTCTGCATCAGTCAGAAGTCAGCTGGGGGGGCGGGGGGTCCCACCACCTGCTCCTCACCTTCTCTCAGAGGCAGAGGGCTGGGGAAGGGCCAGGTGAGCTGCTGGGGTAGGATGGGCAGGCAAAAAGCTCTTGGTTGGGGGCTTCCTCCCCCAAAACCCAGCTGGGGGAGCAAGTAGGGAGGAGTGCAAGGTGGGCGTGGGGAGGTGTGCATTATCCTCTCTAGAAGGTGGAAGATGGGGAGAGGGCAGGGCTGAGTTGGTCCCTGCCCAGCTAGCTGGGCTACAAGTGGGGGAGCAAAAAGCCCACACCACAGGGGCTTTTCCTTGCCTTGTTGTACAGCCTGAGGCTAAGGGGGACTGAGCATCCATTCCTCTGCCCCCCACCCTGTTGGGCTGACAGGCCAAGGCAGGAAACAGGCTGGGGAGCTGAGGCTTTAGTGCCTCTGCTCTGACAGCTGGGGGGAGGGGGCAGCTTTGCTCTGTTGGAGCAGATAGCATAGCTCAGAGCCATCCTGGGATGGTAGGGGACTGAGTTAACTTGAACCAGGAAGGGATCTGGGACAGAAGTTCCATAAACCAGTTTATCCTAAATAAGTTAAGTCTGATACTACATCCAACCAGGTTTATCTTATATTGGTTTTGGCCATCTTGAAAGTGGTTTATGTGCAGTGAACTTCTGTTCTGTTACAGGTTTAAACCAGTTTCCAGTTGCCATGGCTCAAGCTGTCTGCTTCAGCCAAGCAGGGAGGCATGCTATAGCACCCCCAGCTTCTGCCCTGGTCCATTATAGGCATGTGGCTGCATTTCCAGAATCAAAACTCTGTTCACTTGCTTATTGGTTCACTTTATACAGCCTAGACTAACCTGAGAAAATTAAATCAATTCAAGCCTCAGGCTTTTTTGACGGCCTGTACTTAGCCAAACCAGTTTGTGTGTAATTTCTGTGCCTAGCCTTGAAGGAATTATCCTTCTTTTGGCAAAGTTTAGAGAAATCTACTTATTCTCTGCTCCATTCTGCTTCCAACCTATGAGTTCTAAGAAGGGGCCAAACTCTGACTTCTTAGAAATTCTGGATACCCTTTATTTATAACTGAAATTAGGGAAGTGATAGGAGATGTTCAGGGTTAGTCTTTATTCTCCCATGCTTCTGCCTGGTCACAATGTGAAGGGGAAAGTCCACATACTTTACAGGAGTGTGTCTGTATTTTATGAGAACCAAGTAAAGACATTTTTAAATGGGAAATGAAACTTTTAAAGAACTGAGACCCTGTGGTGGAATTAAAGGTAAAAGGAAAGTCCGGGGATACATTAATGTACAATACTTGGAACATAAAAAAATACCCACCTCTTTCTTGGGCAGGTCTGTTTTCCCCCTTCTCCCTTAGGCTTCTTCTAAGCAGGAGTTGAAGAAATCCACTTGTCACTTGTTCTAGGCACTGAGACCTAGAAATAGAAAGAATGCATTACAGTATGTACTACAGTATTAATAGTGAGGCACCATTTATCAAGGAATAATAGACACATCACTGTCTGACCCTACAGTATTGGCAAATGCATCTGGCCAGCAGTTAATCAACTAGAAGTTTTCATATTAAAATTATCATAAAGTTTTCAGAATTAACAACCCACTGAAATGCCTGAGAAGCAGTTTCCATGTGGAGCCATATTAAGGGTAACCAGGAGCTAATGTGCTTTTCTGACACTGTAACCTATTCTCTGATATGATCAACTGCATCCAGCACATAAGTTTTTCCAAACACAGTTTTATCAGACATGCTGGCCCATCCACCTTTATCCTGCTGCATAGCCACATTTGCATCAGTATGTCCTGGAACACTTGCACAGCCATTTTCTACTGCCTCAGCTGCTGGTGCCTGGGTCAAAGATTTCATATTTTTATATAGCTTAACACACTTACAGATGCCCTCGTGCACCTGGACACATTCCAACATGACCAGTGCTGGAACACAGAATACCAGCGTGGTTAGGAGATAGTTCATAACCAGCATATGTGTGGAATCAGATCATGTATAGGATAAATCACATTGAAAACTACTGACAAAGTCACCAAAGGCCTACATTTACGGTAGGAACAACAATGTGGTCTTATTGAAGGACACATTAAAAACACTGTTTGATGCTGTTCAGAGTGGAGATCTTCATGCTTTAAATCTAATTGGCAGTTCTGTAACTAGGTTTGCCAATGTGCCTGTTATTACTATAAGGTAGATCTGTGATAATCTTTTGGAGAGACTAGAAGGTGGAGTTATATCTATTTATGGGGTTAGACGGAGTCAGGGATCAGTATGTGGTTGACATTTGGAAGATGTTCTTCACAACCAAAAGAGCCAAACATTCAAGTAAAAAAAATTGATTCTGCTGAAACAGAAATGCAATTGAAATTCTGTGAGCCCTGCCCCACCTATTCAACATCCATTACAAAGGCAGCTGATTAGTAGTGTGTTTCTTGGAGTTTTACATTCTGCAAACCAGTTCTTAGGCCAGAAATCATCACAAACCATTCCCCATCCCATCACTGCTGTTTTCTACACATTACTTCCATGAATCAGCAGGGAAAACTCCATGGATCATTTATAATTCAAGGACCACATTTGAGAACTACTGACATAGAATATGAATTAGGTGAGTGGTTCTCAGCCATTTTTATACTCAAGACACCCCTCAGTGGGCTCGAGGCACCCTTTGGAAAATGCTCTTAATTCATTTTTTGACTACAGAAAAATAGTAGACCAATTTTTTTGTTGCAAAGACCTCAGAAAGACCACAACAGGTCAGAATCGTTTTAATCCTATGGATTCCTATTGGAAATCTCTGGGTTTATCTTGTGAATCATGTTTGCAAGAGCTAATAGTGCTAATATTGTGTGGCACCCTGCAGCATTCTTCTAAAGATCTCAAGGCACCTTAGGGTGCCTCAGCACTTTGGTTAGGAATTGCTAATCTAGTTGATCAATGCACTTGGTAGCTCATCAGTATTAATTGCTAAGAAATTTAGGAAGGCACATTCAGCCTCTAGACAAAAACCCACAACATGATCATTTCTAATTCAGCAGCAGGCATGTATTGGCCTCTTCCAGGGACAGTGGCAGAATGATCATTCAGGGAGATTTCTCCTCCTAAATTAACAGCAATTCAAGCTTGTTATGTATATACATACTCATACATATGAGCATTATGTATGTATGTTATGCACTCCTGTCAGTAGTGTTTATCTCCCTTGACTATCTGCTGTTATGCTTGAAAAGCATTGAGTTAAGCCCTTGTGTTGGTAAAATGATAATGGCTGCCCTGTTGCTCCCTTTCTGATCTTTCTGAGACAAACAAAGCCCTGCATTACACTAAAAAGAAATTCTCCAAGTAATTACTTACTACAGTAATACTAACATGCTGTACCTTATGCAGAGAAAAGAATCAGATGACTATTAAAATTGCTTTAATAAGGAACACAGAGCAACTTAGACTCAGTCACATATATGATAGCTATAAAAATACCTGACTAGATGAGCTATTAAAACTTTTCCTTTCTAGAAACTAATATAAGATTATATATAACATTTTTCTTATTCCACTCCATTTTTCAAAGTTTAATTTACAGTATCTAAACTGCATACTGAATTTCCTCACAGCATCCCCTGAGAGGATCTTCATAAATTGATTTAAGTGAGGGAACTATCCTTTCACTGGTCAGTCAAGTAACCAGTTACCATGAGAAAGAGGACCAGAACAAAATTCTAAATAAAAAAAATACCAAACTACAGAGTAAGAGTGAGTTTGGAACTGGAATTTCTGTATGGATCCACAAACTGCAGTTGTCTCAGTTATACCTAAAGAATATAGTCGAGAAGCATGACACTAGTGCTCTGTGGTTTGTCGCACACGAATTCTGGGAGAAATGTAAGGGTTTGATTTTGATTTGAGCTGGTGATAATTTCTCTGGCAAAAATGGTTTGTCAAAGCCCCTGTTTCAAAGAATGCAAACATTATCACTGCAAATGTTCATAGCATTTGACATTTTTTAAAATGGAAGTAAATTAATTGTTTTTTGCTTTGCTTCTAATCAAAAGAATGTTCTGGGGTTTGTGGTGATCATTGGCACTTTTTGTGGGTTTTTTTTATTCCCACCATTGCTAGGAAAAGGATGGCAAGGAAAAGCAAGGGGGAGAGGAACTTAATCAAACTGAAACACCTATTTTTTTCATTTCAACTTGAACTGAAATTAAATGTTTCAGTTATTTCAAAAAAGTAAATATTTCCCAAAAAAGTACTTTTTTTCTTTCAACATTTTTTGCAGAAAAACACTGTGATTTGTGGCAGTGCACCTTTAGGGCTTGAGCAGGCTACAGACCAGTCTGCAGGTGGGAGCAAATCCAATCAAACAGTCACATGGCAGTCAGAAAGCTGCCTGATAGGAGGAGGGTTGGGTAGCCAGGGTATAAGACCAGATTCAGGGACCAGGGCTGCTGGTTGCAACTGGGGAGCTGAAGGGTGAACATCTCTCAGCTGGAGTTGCTGCTCCCAGAGCACCTGGAGGTCAAGGGTAGGAACTATGGGAATGGAGGAGATTCCTGGTCCTGGGGAATGATTTAAAAATATACCCTACTGGGGCTGGATGGTATGGTGGGGCTGCCTGTGGCAGGGCAGTCTCCAGGAAATGCCAGACCTGTGCCTCGCTAATGAAAGGCAAGTATGGGACACCTGAAAGCCTCAGCACCCACTGCCTTGTGGGTATCCTGTGGAGGAGAAAGGCTAGGCTAGTACACCTTGACAAAAGAGCACAGGGCCCAAGCGCATTGAGTTGGACCTGAGGTGGGGTTCAGGCACACTGACAGACACCTGAGGCCGGAATGAGCTGTAGGCTCAAACACATCTATGGACACATGAGACCCAAGGAGCATAAGACCCAGAAGCCTGAGTGAGGGGGTGGAG